CTGGCAACTTTCAACTCGAGAACCAGAAAAGCTAGAAGGCTGAAACTTTGGCAGTATGTGCCCATACCATGCGCGACCCTCCCGTTTTAATTTCATCCCCCTCGGAAGCCTAGGTGCCACGTACGGAAGCCATTTTGGATTGTCCTTTTGCATGTGCTGAACACCAACACCTCATTCCAAATGCAGTCATTCCCAGGGTCACAACAGGGGGCATTTTATCGCAAAAGAAGTTACTAAAGAACAGAATCGTTTTCAAAAAGCACTGCTTCTCAGAGACGAAAGTGTCGAAAAATTTTGAAAAAATTTACGGTTTGGGAGTGGCGCCCGATGTAGATGGCTGAGATACGACGAAAAGATCATCGTCATCTCGCCTTTTCTTCAGTGCGGGAGCAAAAGCGGTTCTCAAATCATCCAGCGGTTCTTCAGCACCTTCTGGAAAAACAACACCGCAAACACTTGTTCCCCTCATATTTCACATACATATTCCCCTCATTTGCACGTTTGATCGATGTTAGCAGAGAAAATTTATATAATTTTCACTCAAAAATAATTCTCATAACTGTTGTAACAGTAACTTTATTAGCTACAGCTTATGTCCAGTTCTCGAAAGTATAAATGTGGATTTCTTTGAATGCAATGTACTGATTCAAGCAAAGTCTAGCGCTGCACGGCAAAAACGCATAACTAGCACCAAGAATTCCTGAAAAAAAATTTTTTTATATACCAATCTGTGAGCTGGCCAATTGCTGCAAGGCGCGCTTTTGAGCTTTCGTCATCGTTAGCTCTTCAACGTAACGCTTCACTTGTCGATCGCGCTAAAAAACCTGCCATTTTAAGCAAAATGACAAGAAAAAATCATTATTTTTAATGAATTGAAAATCACAGCTTAACTAAAATTAGCCACAATATCGCTCAAAAATTCTACGGGGGGATTTCGAATCCCTAATAACGATTTATTGGAAAAGAGGCCTTTTTAGGCTTACCAAAAAAAAATCGTTCAAAAGTCCTACAGGGGGATCCCCGATTAGACAAAAAGCACCTCTCAGACTTGTCTTAGGCCCAGTTATATCACATTTTTTTGCATACTGAATTAACTGGCTACAAATCACACATACGGAAATTTTGATTCTGATCTTTGATTTCTTAAATTTTGATTCTTTTTTGGGAAAATTACCAATAATTTCCTTTTGAAGATCGGAACATTTGGGCCATCGAAAACAAACAATGGACGGATTTTGTAGAAGAGTAGTTTGGAGAGGCGTCTCAATACCAGCGACAGATGTGGACATTTTGCGCCTGGCTGATAATCCATGTAACCATGCGCTGCCTGATGAAGCCAGATGGAAATATCTAGAAATTTACAAATAATCAACGTTATCATCATAAAAAATAAATATTCATAATCACAATCATTGTTTTTTATAATCAACATAAAAATAATTATCATCATCAACAATAACACTAAATACCTATGCATTAAAATCTTTCGTTTTACCATTACCTTCACCAACATCGTTATCTTCAAACATTGATGTGAATAACAATAATAAACAAATAAAATAAAATACAGATGTCATTAAGTTGGCAAATTTCCAAGAAAAAGTACTACTGTTTCGAGTTCGTGTGTACGATATAACCAGATTAATGCATGCCAGAAAGAAGAGCTGGGCTGGTTACGTGGCAAGAATGAGAGAAAACTGATGGACAAAACTGGTTATAGATGATCCCTATGTGAAAGAACGTAGCGAAGACAGCTAGTATGGTGAAAGAATCCGCTCGAATATATAAGGTGTAAAACGAGCAAAACAGAGAAGAATGGAGAAGTTGCTAGCTGCATCAGTGGTGCAAATGATAATGAAACAAGAGCTGATCAAAGTGTCAAGCTAATTCTTGCATGGTTGTGGCATACGAGTAATATTAAGAACTTAAATAGGGCAGGGCTAGAACTAACTGTGTATGTACAGATGTAGAAATATAGCTGGTGTAGGAAAAATAAGTGAGTATGAGTTAAGACGTTTCTGTTCACTAAGTAATATACGTCTTAGCTCGACACCGAGACTGGGTCTCGTCAGTATGACGGTCGCGGTGTTCAGAGATTGGAAAAAGAAACGAATGGAAGGCAGGAAGAAAGAAGAGAAGAGAAAGATAGGAGATTTTTTTAATTATATCAAATTTTGGAGCAGTTGGAAAAAATTATAAAGTTGCAATGTAAAGTGAAAAAGTATGGAGAAGAGGAAGAAGCTATACGCACGGAACGTTAACAAAGCGACGTATGCGGGCATGTTGGGTAGTATAATTATTGTAGAAGAGCGCGTATCAGCTGGTAAAATTTGCAATTCATATAACAGTGTTACTAGTTAATTAATTACCTTATTATGACCTAGAACTAGCTGATTGTATTAATTCTGAATACACACGAAAGGCTAGGCTTTGCTAAGTGCTACTGCCAAGAAAAGCGCAAAAATCGTTATCCCTTCAGGACATGCAACGAATGTAAGGAAATCCAGAAGGCTTACCACCAGGAAACAGTACTAATCGAAGAAATTATAGAAAAAAAATGTTAGTTTCATGGCTGAAAAAACAGATTACGAACCATCAGCGCCACATAATAATTGCTTTTTGCTTAATAATTCACAACTCAAGTACTTTAAAATAATGTATTACCTCTTCCAGTGTTATTTCGCAAATTACCTTTGTACTAAATTTGGAAAGCCCATCTCCATTAAGATGATGTACTGTTTGTGCTTTAATTTCTTGCATATATAAGTTAACCTTTTCGCTTCCCGGAGATTCAAAATTTGTGGACTAGGGCCGTTCCATATTTTCCACAGTTCGGACTGGCCGTTTACTTCAGAAATTACGGTTCTGCCTACCAACGACAGCAAATTATTTATCAATTTAACCTATTAAAGACTGAAAAGAAGATATCGAGAAAAGAAGAAAACAAAGAAAAGGAGGGAAAGGATAATAAAATGGGAAAGGTGTCTATAGAAATATTTGTAATAGGTAAGAAATGTTTATTAATTTAACCCGTCCCGGTCGGTCCATTTGGACCGTCCACTTATGATTCGGCTTTCTAATGACCGTTACTTATCATTCACATTCACACAACTCACCATGACTGCCTGGTGAAAGCCGCGTTCTCATGAACTTCGGCTCCCCAGAACCTTCATCCTCTCCTTCTCCCCTTTATTTTTTCCTCTTATCCCTTTGTATTTTTATGCGTTTTTTGCAGCAATGCAATGCGAAAAACGCACACTGACGAGAGGTTGTCTGTGTGTGTCTGTGTGTGCGCTGGGCCTCTGTACCGATTTTTATGCGTTTTGTGCTGTGTAACAGC